CAGGAACCGACGGTGGAGTTTGTGCCCATTTTTCTTTCTCACTCTTAGTCTTCTGGTCTGTCTGCTCCTCTCCACCCCATTATTCAGGCCTGTGGCCCTTCTAACTGGGATGATTCTAATAGTTTGAGAGCTGGTCTCTGGGTGTCCAGCTTCTCCGCACATTGTCTTTCTAAAATGGAGATATTTTGCTAACGGGTTTCTGGGATTAGGGACTTCTTATGCCTATGCTTTTATTTGCTATAACAAACATGTACTGCTTTTATTATAAAAGTACTTATAATACTAGGGGAGGGGTTAGAATAGATTTGATCCCATTCTTCTAAGCTGTTCAGATTGTGGCTTTCCAGTGCTTGCTCGGCCACCCCTTCAGGCACCCGGTGCTCTGGCTGCAGGAAGGCACCCCCCACCCTTCGAACGGCCCGCCTGTGGCTGTGCTGTGCCTCTGCCAGGAATGCTATCTTTCCCACCAGCCCTGAGTGCTCCACTCTGCATCTTTCCACAACCAGTTTCCATATGACTTCAAGGCCCCCCAAATTCAGCTCCTTCTTTCTTATGGTCTTTTCCCATGAATGCTTCAGGTACACAGGCCACGTCTTTCTTCCCATCCCCTGGGTCTAGAATGCGAGTCTGCTCGCACTGAGCAGTTGATAAATGCTTGATGAATGGGTGGTGGAGAGGCTGATTAAGTGGATGAACAGACTCACAAATAACGTTAGCACACTGTAAGGCATAAAAATACATGTCAACAGACACACGTTTATCTAAAGCCATATGACCACACCAAGCAACGCAGACAGCTCACTCAAGTCTCCAGTTACCATTCATGATCCACCTTTCCCTTTATAGAAACAGTTTTAAAGCTGGGCAAGTCCAAGTCAACATTTAAATAGAACACATTCAATCTGATGTTGTCTCTTGTTAACTGGCTTGCGGTAACTTGCAGAATAAACATACAGAGTCACTTTAGTTCTCTGAAGGATCATGGTTTAATGCTTCACTAAATACTCATGTAAATATTATCACTTGTATAGTTCTCAAAAAGGATGTTTAACTTAGTGATATTTAACTTAGTAAGAATGTTTAACTTGGTGATATTTAACTTAGTAAGAATGTTTAACTTGGTGATATTTAACTTAGTAAGAATGTTTAACTTGGTGATATTTAACTTAGAATGTTTAACTACAGTTTATTCACCTCACTATGGTTTATTCTTAGATATAAATTTTTATTCCCTTTGTTTTATACTTCCATTTCCTACTACAGCCCCCAGGCAAAAGGAAGAATGTTAGAGAGATTAGTCAGACCGCCTACCCCCAAATCACAGCCTCCTGTTGCCGTGGTCACACTCAAAACAACTGCTCCCAGATTTTCCTGGTCAATGGCTATGGGGAAAAGGAGTCCTTTCTCAGCAGATTTTGAAGGAGTAACTTCTGAGTTGCCTGATGTGTTGTCACGGCAAAGAAGATTCAACTTTCAGCAAGTATTTCTCAAGTGCCCACTCTATTCTAAGTACTTAATCAAGAGCCAGAGATAAAGCAGTAAATAGAGCAAGACAAAAACAGCATATACTCAACAAATAAATTTAATCCACAGAACCAGAACAGCACAAACCAAGTAGGACTCCCAATAAAACACCTACACATAACAGCTGTATAAAAAGTGAGGCTGCACACACTGCTGGAGAATGTAAAATGGTGCAGCCTGTGCACAAGTTTGCCGGTTTCTGAAAAGGCTAAACGTAAGAGTTACTATATGACCAGCAATTTCTTCTGATTCTTACACATAGATGAAAACATATGCAAAACACATGTAAAACTGTATAAACCAATGTTTGCAGCAGCATTATTCACAATAGCCAAAAAGTGGAAACTACCCACGTGTCCATCAACTGACGAAGGAATACATAAACTGGTCTACACACACACTGGAATATTACTTGGTAATGAAAACAAATGGAGTGCAGTTGTCCCTTGGTATCCACTGGGGAATTGGTTCCAGGACCTCCCTTGGATACTAAAAATCCATGGATGTTCAAGTCATATAAAATGGTGTGGTTATTTCCATATAACCTGTGCACATCTTAAATTATCTCTAGATTACTTATAATACCTAATACAATGTAAATGCTACATGCATAGTTGTTATACTATTGATTAGGGAATAAAGTCAAGAAAAAAGTCTGTACACGTTCAGTACGGTTACAAATTTTTTCTGAATATTTTCAACCCATATTGGTTGAATCTATGGATGAGGAACCCTCGGATACAGAGGGCCGACTATACCAACAGATGCTACAACACGGATGAACATTAAAGACACTGTGCTAAGAGAAAGAGGCCAGCCACAAAAGGCCACACATCGTACAGTTCCTTTTACATGAGATGTCAGAATAGGCAAATCGATAGAGACAGAAAAGTAAACTATTGGCTGCCTCAGGATGGGATATGGGGTGATGTGGGGTGACTGCCCATGAGGCATGGGGTTTCCTTTTGGGGTGACGGTAATGTTCTAAAATTATGGTGATGGTTCCAGAACTCTGTGAATATACTAAAAACCAGTGAACTGCATGCTTTTAGTAGATTAATTGTATGTTACATAAATTATATCTCAAGAAAGTTGTTATTTTAAAAAGTGAGGTTGGTCAGTAAAGAAAACATCTTCAAAAGATATCAAGAACACTAGAGTTGACCCTCGAACGACATGGGTTTGCACTGTACTGCTCTACTTACACACAGTTTTTCCAATAAAAGTTAACACCATTACTTGCCTCCCCTGCCTCCCTTTCACTTCCTCCTGTTCTGTCTTTGTCCCTGAGACAGGAAGACCAATCCCTCCTCTTCTTCCTCCTCAGACTACTCCACATGAAGACAACAAGGATGAAGACCTTTACAATGATCCTCTCTCATCTAATGAATAGTAAATACATTTTCCTTTCCTTATGATTTTCTTAATAACATTTTCTTTCCTCCAACTTATCTTATTGTATGAGTACAGTATACGATACATAGAACATACAAAATATGTGGTAATTGACCCCTGACTGTTAAAAATTCTGGTCACTAGTAGGCTATTAGTAATGTTTTCGGGGATATTCTAGGATCTAAGTCACCAGGAAGGTTTAAAAAAAAAAAAAAAGTTTTCGAGAAATCAAAAGTTGTATGTGTTAGGTCTAGACTTTCTAGTGAAAATAAATAAGTAACACAAAAAGTTAAATGCATGCATATATATATATATATCTTCTTTTTTTTTTTTTGAGATGGAGTCTAGCACTGTTGCCAGACTGGAGTGCAGTGGTGCGATCTCGGCTCACTGCAACCTCCACTTCCCGGGTTCAAATAATTCTCCTGCCTCAGCCTCCTGAGTAGGTGGGACTACAGGCATGCATCGCCACATCAGCTAATTTTTGTATTTTTAGTAGAGACAGCATCTCACCATGTTGGCCAGGATGGTCTCAACTCCTGACCTCATGATCCGCCCATCTAGGCCTCCCAAAGTGCTAGGATTACAGGCGTGAGCCACCATGCCCAGCCTAAATGCACATTTTTTTTTACTTTCCAGGGCATTGGCACTCCTAGCCCTCAAGTTGTTCAAGGGTCAACTCTACTAGCTTCTTTATTCATGGACACATCTTTTGTTAGTTCATCAGAACCAGAATTTTGAGGTGCTTCTGAATTCTAAATTGAAGGATTCACTACCTCTGGTGTTGCAGATACTTGCTAGAAGATGGTGAAATAAAGATGAGTAAAATACATCTCAACCCCAGAAACAATTCCACCCGTTCACTGATGTCCTCCCCACCCTTTTCCTCCTCCCACTTCGGAAAAAACACCTTCTCCTGCATGGAGAGCTGGGAGCTGGAGAAGTGCAAGGTACAGAAATGTACTGACCCCAAGCTAACACCTCGTCTATTCTGCCCAATCCTTCTGCTCCACCTCAAGACTGCTCCCTTGGCTCCCCAGACATTCCAGTTATTCTTTTAAGACACCTCCCGTGACTGTCTATCATATTCCAATCCTGTGCATCAATACTTTGCCTAAGAATTCTCAAAGCAGAGAATTGCATAATTTAGAGTTTATATACAACTTGGGCTTGACACCTAGCTTGTTCCTCATGCAGACTCTTGACAACTGAAAATTATTCAAATAAAACTACCTTTTCTGGGGAAGGTTAATTTTTTTGGAGTGGGGGTAAATATAACATAAAACCTACCATTTTATTCATTTTTAAGTAGACAGTTCAGCAGCATTAAGTACATTCACACTGTTGTACAACCACCACTACCAACTACTTCCAGCACATTTTCATAATCCAACCTGAAACTCTGTACCCATAAAACACTCGACAACCACCATTCTGCTTTCTGCCTCTTTCTACATATTTGCCTATTCTAGAATACCACTCTTTTTCATCTCTCAATTTTCCTGAAAAAGACTTAAAACTTCTGGCAAATTTTCCAAGTAACTTTTTCAATAACCAGGTAAAGCGAGATGGGGTAAACATAACCGAGGTTCTAATTTTTTAAAATAACTTTGTGAAGAAGCAGAAAAGTTGTCATCTCCTAGCAACCACTGTCCAAAAGGCTTCAAAGCACCGATCTGTAGGGCACAGAATAAGTATTTGTAGGTGAGGGAACCTCATGGGGAAAAAACAAGGACAAGGAAAGTGTGTGGCTTTTGCAGCTTAAAAGTGTTCCACTGATACTCATAAGGCTACCTCTACCCTATATTTTACTGCATGTAAACTATACCTCAAAAAGTTGTGACAAATAAGTAAATCCCCTAGAGACCAATGTACTTCAATAGCAACACTCCCCTCAGGCCTCCTGCGTGCTTCCCTCCCATCACCTCCCACATGGCCTTACCTCCCGCTTCCCTTGTCCCCTCTACCCTCTGCACCTCCATCATCCAAAGACAGAAATGTCATCTTTAGGGCGATGTGCCAGAGAGGAAAAGCAAGGGCTTGGCTACATGTCAACTGTGTGCTCTGGCAGTGCTACTCACTTCATCAGTTTCTGCTTTGTGGCAGAATCTTTGAAGCTTCTAAATTCTTCTCCTGCTTTGATCTCATAAAACTGGGGCTTTAGGACTGTCTGCTGGTCCTCCTTGAGTCGTTCCTGTCGCTTCACTTTTTCCTCCTGCTGGAGGAGTCTGCGTTGCTTCCTGACCTCTTCAACCCAGGCTTTTTCATCATCTGAACTCTCCGAACTTTCTGCATCACTCGGTTTTCCTTCCGGCTCTTCCTCCTCTTCCTGAGAATAAAAATAGTAAGCAGCAACTCCTTTCCCCCAAACACAGACCCCTTGTTTTCTCTGAAGCAGCAACTGGCCCATTAATGAGTGCCTAACAGCTACTCTACTGCATGCATCAGGAGAAATGCCTTTAATTAAATAAGATAATACTCCTAAGCCCAATGTCAATCACTTAATATGGAATTAATTACATCTCAAGTATAATCGAAGACTCTTCTAACTTACAAAGAAAACATTGTATTAAAGAAACAGTAGCAAATTCTAAATGATAAGGAGTACATTACTTTTTCACGCAGTTCTTGTTGCTCTAAGAGTCTTAGCTTCTTTTTCCTTTTTTCACTAATTTTTGAAACAAGTGGATTCAGAAGCCTGAATTCTTCACTCTCTTCATCTACTTGGAAGTCAGGGTTCTCAAACATAACTTTAAATCGATCATCGGTGAGAATACTAGGAAGACTCTATAAGGAGGAAAAAGTATGTAAAAATTTAAGTTAATATCTGATTAAAATTAGACCAGAAATATGGTTTTAAAACACTGATTCTATTATAAATTAATAAGCGGCACGAGGCATACATTATTAACTCATTATGAAATTTCTTCCAGGACTTCCATTGTGCCCCTAGGTTTCAGCTGCCACCACCAAAAGAACCTCTACTAATCTACTTTGCAGATGATCTACACCAGTTGGCCATTACACACAATGAGCTAAGAATGAGTCTTTTGGCTAACTTTATGCTTAATGCATTAGAAAGAATTTCTTCAATTAACATTTTAATGCAAAAAGTACCTTTCAAGAAAATAGGTAAGTTTTTAAAACATGGCTTTTATTATTTTTTAGAGACAGGGTTTCACTCTGTCACCCAGGCTGGAGTGCAATGGCACAATCACGGCTCACTGCAGCCCCAACCTCCTGGGCTCAAGTGATCCTGCCACCTCAGTCAGCCTCCCAAGTAGCTGGGACCACAGGTGCACCACCGCACCTGGCTAATTTTTTATTTTTTGTAGAGATGGGTCTCACTATGTTGCCCAGGCTGGTCTTGAAGTCCCGGGCTCAAGCAATTTCTGATGCCTTGGCCTCCCAAAGTACTGGGATTACAGGTGTGAGCCACTGTACCTGAAAACAGGACTTTTAAACAAAGCTTAGTTACTACGCTGACTTAAAATAAGCAATTCTTTCAACTTCAGATTCCAAAACTGGGAGAGGAAGTATACAAAGTCAGTAACTCACATGGTGGGATGGAGGAAGCTGGTGATGTAAGTTTACCAATTCCAGCTGAGTTACTGGGAAACAGAAGGGACGTTTCCATCTCCTACCGGGTGATTTCATTAATATTTCCCCTCAGGTCAACTAACTGTTGTCAAAGGATATTGTGTATCCTTCAGACACAAAAACTTTGGCTACTGAGACCCATTTAGATAGCTCGGGACTGACACTAAATTCCTTTTTATTTGTACCATTTTCAATGGAAAGTTTTCTAAAACTGTACTGTAAACTTAACTGTTCACTTAAGTAGATGACAGAGAATCTTACACATTTAGGACTGTCTTATCGTTCCTTCTCTGCTATAGGCTTGGAAGCCAGATCAAACAGCCTACTTAGAATTGTTTGTCAATCAGAGTAAACAGCCCTGAACACTGCTGGAAAAAGCTGACCTGTTTGTGATGGACTCTGACTCTGCTGAACAGACTACTTTACTATTTCTCCACTGTTGAGAGTAAATAAGGTTGCAGGCAGTTGAGTTCTGACTATTACTTGTGATACTGACAGACCTATACAAAAGTTTAATAAATCATAAGATATTAAGGAACTTGGCCTGTTTATTATTTGTAAATACCTAAAAACAGATAAACCCTTACCTAAAATTCTGAGATATTAAATGCAACAAGTCTTCCCTGATTAAACATCATTTCCAAGAAAGACTTAGGATGAAGGGAAAAAGAAAGGTAAGATTGGGTTCCTGATCCTAATCTAGTAAGGAAGAAAAAACACTGCAAACACATTTGCTACTAGGCCCCTTCTGAGGGCTGCTCGGTAATGCTGAAAGTGTCACAGGAGAGGACAGATAAAGGAATCCCAACAAAAGACACCCCAGGAGGGGCCTTGGGGGGTGTGGCATCAGGGAGGGGGCTTGAAAGATGAGGTTTCAACAAGTAGAAATCTGAAGAAACAGCATTTCCAGCCGACAGAAGTGGTGAATAGTCTGGTGACATAAGAATGATGCAATTTCAAAAACAATTTTTTGATCAGGCCATACTGTAAAGGATTTTAAATACCATGACTGTTATTTTGAAGATATAAGGGGAAACCACTAGCGAAGAGGAGGAGGGGGAGGAAGAAGAGGAAGAGGAAAAGGAAGAGAAACGAAGAAGGAGGGAGACAGGGAAGCAGGGAGGAAGGAGAAGATGGATGATCAACAGAAGTGTGCTTCAAGACTCTTCAGATGACAGAACTGTGCTTCTGGCCAGGTGTTGGTTCACACCTGCAATCTCAGCACTTTGGGAGGCCAAGGTGGGAGGACTGCTTGAGGCCAGAAGTTCGAGATCAGCTTGGGAAACATGGTGAGACGCTGTCTACACAAAATATAAAAAATTAGTCAGGCGTGGCAGTGCACGCCTGTAGTCCCAGCTACTTGGAAGGTTGAGGTAGGAGGATCGTGTGGGCCTGGGAAGTCAGGGCTGCAGTGAGCTGAGATCATGCCATGCACTCCAGCCTGGGTGACAGAGAGACCTTGTCACAAACAAACAAACAACCCAAAATTGTGCTTCAAGAGTCTGCAGCAGCATGATGTCTGACGGACTGCCGAGTAAGAAGTTAGCATCATGAGAAGACTAAGAAGCCATTTTAAGAAACTGGCGAGAGAGATGGTCTGAATTAGGGCAATGGGAACAGTTTTTAGGAAAGAATAATTGTGAGATACAGTTCTAAATTAGAATTGACAGATCCAGCTATGGAGATAGGAGGGTTAAGAATTAAAAGCGGTTAGAAACCTCTCTCAAACATGTAGCTTAAGCAACCAGAAAGCTGGCGACAGTGAGTTAGGATCCATCACTGGTGAGCATTAGGAAAAAACGCAGGGGTGGAGTAAACGGGAAGAAATCACGCTCCGTTTAGGGCTGCCTATGCCTGTGATACAGGGAGAAGAGCACCAGGATTCGGACGGATACCACTAGGTGTCTGGGAACTAGGCGCCATGTCTCAGGAGAAAGAAGGGGGCTATCATGTAAATTTTGGAGTTATCTGTAGGTATCGGACAGGTGATATTGTCAAAGATATTTTCAAATGAATACCTAACTGCCTATTACACATTTTCAGGTTAAAAAAACACCAAGGGCAAATATTTTCTTTTCATCTTACTATATTTATTAAAGTAATAGTAATATTTAATAAATAGATAAAATGTTACAAAGACTATGTATGTTGCTGGTATTAAGCTTTTTTTCTTAATTTAAAACAAATCAATCGCTTTGCCTAAAGACAAGTATGCTTTGGATGAACAACTATAAAATAAAACCTCTTCTGACCCATCTGTAAAAATATTTCCTTCAGGGTTTTTTCCTAGTCTGTTTGTTTTCACAGCTGTCTTAAGGAAAAAAGTAGGATAAGGTATAGCTATTAATGTTCTATAGGAGCTTACAAGTGTCTGGCTAGTGATTCATCCTGTAAACACCTGTCTACACATGCTCAACTTTACCATTAAAATACAGAAAACATTAAAGTACTGTCCATACCACAGTCCTACCTGGAAGAATGGTATCTGTCTACCTGAGTGGGATGCCTATTATTATTTTGTTCCACATAGTAACATATATGAAGAATGACTGCCATTTGAAACAAATTAGTTCTTTTTTTTCTTTTGAGATGGGGTCTTGCTCTGTCACCCCAACTGGAGTGCAGTGGTGTGATCTTGGCTCACTGCAATCTCTGTCTCGGGTTCAAGAGATTCTCCTGCCTCAGTCTCCTAAGTAGCTGGGATTATAGGCACGTGCCACCAGAGCGGGCTAATTTTGTATTTTTAGTGGAAACGGGGCTTCACCATGTCGTCAGGCTGGTCTCAAACTCCTGACCTGGTGATTTGCCCGCCTAGGCCTCCCAAAGTGCTGGGATTACAGGCGTGAGCCACCGCACCCCAGCCAATCAAATTAGTTCATTCAATGCTATGATACCTATGAAGTTAGGCTGGTACAGACTTCTGAGTAAAGACGGTAGCTTGCACACTAGTATCTTCTTCTCATCTCTCCTAAAACCTCACTAGAACAACAGAAAAGGAGCTTTTTAAAAAGGACATAAACCCTCAAAAGAAGGAAAGGAAACAGGGGTAATAAAAATTTGAGAGTCAGAAAGAAAGCCTATTTAAAATCACACCCCAGCTCTGGAAAGCCTGGTCCTGGCCCTTTCCCACTGAGGAGTTGTCTGGCTGGGGTTGGCACTGCAAGAGCAAGAGAAGTGTGCTGGCCACAAAGAGGGGAGGACAAGGCTGGCACGTGGGGGTGAGGTGCCCTCTGGAACCCTCCAATCTCTTGTGACCTACGGTGGTCAGTTCTAGGAATGTTGGTAGCCAGGCCTTTACCCCCAAGCAGGAGGACCTGACCAGCCAAGAGAAAGACTTAAGAGACAATGACATGTGCAGCGTCCTTCCCCAAATAGACAGTGTGGCCAAGTCACCGCAGAGTGACTGAGGGACCCTGTCCCCACCTAGAGTTTTCATTCACTTTTTAAACTCTTATTCCTCACTGCCAAAAAATAACTATGGATCATGGCAGGAAAAACTAATAGAAATTTTCTTTCAAGAAAATTCCCCAGCACTGAAGACCGAACTTCTAGACTGAGATGGGCTTGCAGCACAGTACAGTCGTTTTGTGTGAGGTTTCCCAGGACGCTTCCTCTTTCTGTTATTTTAGAGAAGCAACTCCTCTAGCAATTTCCCAAGGAAACACAGCATTTAAGGGGAATTGGCTGCTGTTGAGAACTTGCACGTCTGAAAAAATTTACCATACTCTCATATGGACTGACTGCTTGTCTAGGCTGGAAACTGTATTTCTTCAGGAAACTGAAGGTTCTTGTAATTCTCTGTCCAACATGGGTTGAGGTGAACTGAATCCACAGGATAATGGTAAAGGGAGGTCCCAGGATTAGAAGGTGACCAGGCCAGAATGGAATGGGGTAGAAAGTTCTAGAAGCAACTTCTTCAGGAAGGTAAATAAGTATAAGTCTAACCTATCTAAATACCTCAAAATAAGACTTAGATAACTGGCATAAATTGGGGGTTGATTAGTGATAACTACATAGAAAACAAGCAAGAGAGACAATTACTAACTTCAAAGGACACAAAGATTGAACAAGAAATGCAGTCACAGATTGCTACTGACTCAGCTAGAAATAGCACCTACATAGGCCAGGCATGGTAGCTTGTACCTGTAATCCCAGCACTTTGGGAGGCTGAGGTGGGAGGATCTCTT